CTGATGCCAAGATGGTGAGCACTTCTGAGCCCTGATAAAATAACACCACATCTGCTCTTGACACCGATATTACATTCACCCAAAGTGGGCTTACAAACGCTGCATTGTGCTAAACCCAGAAGCAGACAGTAGGCCTTGGCCCACAGTGCACTGCAGGGCCAATCTTAGCAAATGTTAGCCGGTGGTAGTGAGAAAGGGGCACGGCCATGGCTGTGCCAACAAACCTGACAAAGAAACATTCTGTTTGTATTGATTAAATGCCCCGCAGAGGAGGGGAAGGGTGGAGTTGTGCTTGTTCTCTGTCGGTTGAGTGACACCGGCGCTCAGTTGAGTTGCTTATCTGAATACTAATGTTTGAGTTGGGTGAGATGCTCATGTAGCTTTTTGTTTCAGGACAATTTTCTATGCATTAATTTGTCTGGCAAGGCTGCGGTGTTACACTACAGGTCAAATTCATCATGGTTTAGGGTGCGTTTCTGTCAACAGGAGGTGGAAGTCAGTGTAGGAGGAAGGGAGCATGACAGCAGCTTATCTGAGCAGTCAGACGGTTGTCTGAGCATGGCTTCCTCTCAACTCGGCTTATTCAAATAAAGCTTTGTGTCTCTGTCAGGGCTCCGATACCTTCTTAAGATAAGAGTACAGTTGAAACAGTTGTGACAGAAGCATTCGAGTCATTCTGTTGGTGCATTTTCTTCACAGATCTCGGTATCAGGCGGAGGTCTTCCTCCAGTCAGCACCCTGACCAACATCCATGCATCCCACCACATGCACCAACAGACCCCCAACCTCATAATGCCCCTTTCTGGAGTCATGGCCATTGCACAAAGTGAGTGTCCAACCACCTTGCTTTCCATTTCAGATTCTTTATGCATTCTTCACGTGACACGTCATTGTTCTCGCATCCAGGTTTGAACACATCGCAGGCGCAGACGGTACCTGTCATCAACAGCGTTGCAGGCAGTCTGGCAGCATTGCAGCCGGTGCAGTTCTCGCAGCAGCTGAATGTCTCGCACCAGCAGCTCATGCAACAGTCACCCGGCCACATGAGCCAGCAGCCCTTCATGGCCTCTGTCTCACACTCACACAGTCCGTCCACTTCCTCTGGCCACTATCTACTCATCTAGTCAAGATCAATTCATTTTCAAGACTTTCAAATGACCGTCTGTTTGTTATCTTCACAGTGTACCCACACAAGCAGGAGCCACCCCAGTATTCTCACTCGTCTCGGTTTCCCCCTGCCATGGTGGTGACAGACGCCAACAGCCTCAGTACGCTGAGCTCAATGTCCTCCAGCAAACAGGTCAGTCATCCACAACATTCACCAACATGCATAAATGTCACTATTGATGAGGATTGTATGATCTTTGAATAATATAAGTCTTTAAATGCAAGATATATTAAGTGTGCCTAAAGCATACTTCAACGTTAGCACAATCAAATACACTTAAGTATGTCTTTAGTTGGATTTCAGCACTACTTCCTCACAATTAAAGTGTGTCAAGTACAAAATTAGGTGGGTTACACTTTATTTTAAGGTGTCCTTGTTACAGTGTAATTATACATTTAAGTTCGGAGTAATATTAACTAACTACATGTACTTACTATATGATTAGGGTTAGGATTAGGGCTACTTGCATGTAATTATGTATTGTTATTATTGTAGTAAATACGTGTAACGTGCAACAAGGATACCTTAAAATAAAGTGTTACCATTACTTGTTCCAATTCAGCAGACTTTAAGTATACCAGTTTAGTATACCAAAAGTACATTTGCAGGGTATTTTTATTAAGCACATAAATATGTAGATGTATTTGTAGTACTTAGCATGAAATAAATGAATTTCAAATACATTTTCATTTATTTATTTTCCACTAGGGCAGACCCTACTAAATCTAAAATTTGCGCATGTTTAAATTTAATCCACAGTCGGTCTCAGTATACTAGTGAGAGTCAGTGGATTGCACATTTTTACATTTACGAAATAAGGCAAAATTATATTCTGATAATCGAGATGTGTCACAGATGCTCTCAGTAAAGTTTAATGTTAATGTATGTTTGATGTAACTCAAAATATTGCTTTCAGGCAATGGTCACCAGGCTAAACAACATTTATATCAGCATTTCTGCGATCAGTGTAAGATTTCCAGAGTGGGCTGAATATGACTGATGTAGAGTTTTTCAGTCAACGTGGTTTCAAGCTGTGCACAAACCCAACCTGCTTCGCTGTCTTTTGTTCGGCCAGGTTTGTTGCACATCTCAATCAGTGAAGCGAGTCAACGTGTGGATACTCCTCAGAATTCCTATTTCCTTTGAACAGCTTGACCAATCAGTCACCCGTGATCCCAGCCTGAGCACGGCATGATTGATGAAACCGCCTTTCCCTTTCTTTGTCATTTCTTTCTTTCTTTCTTGATTAGATAATATATGTATTAATGTATTTATTATTATATATGTTTTTTTTTTTCCACTTTCTTTCTTAATATTTTCACGCTTTCCTTACTCTCAATGCAAAGTCACTTCTGAGTCCAGAGTCTAATGATCCTCACTGTTAATCAAAGCCATCATGCTCCTTCGGCTCCCCTGTCGTGGACGGGAGTGTATGCCGTAATTACACCTCTTCCCTTTTCCCCTGCTCTCTGACCGCTCTAGCCTGAAATGCGGTTTGCAGTCACCGCTTTTACATGCCTAATTTCCCACGCTTCCACATCACTGGCAGCACCAATCCTGACGGCTTGAACTTCCTACCAGCATGTGCTCCAATTATCAACATCTTGTCTTTAATTCTGGATAAATTGCAAAAATCCTAAATATTTCACCTGTGCAAGGTAAATGGAAACACGTTTTGGAAACACAGCATTTAGATATCTCAGGTATGTGGTTCCTCAACGCCCCAGTACTGAGAGAGCAATTTCAAACTCTTATCAGCTTGCTGTATTTGGACTGGGCAGTGCAGTGGGCGCTCAGGGGGACATTACAAACCACGCTTAGTCTTTATAACCCTCCTGTCTGCCGAGCTTTCCACCACAAAAACTCACCTCCATTTGGAGACCTGCATCTAATGAGTGTAGTCTGAGCAGCTGGCCGGCACCTTTATCAGGTGAGGCTGTTTGTCGGCCAGCGGGTCACGACAGGGTCACCTGCCTCTCCCTCTCCAAAGAAAGAGCAAAAACACCCAAACAATACGAGAAAACGTTGAGTACAATGGGAAAGAACGCACAGGGATGAGGTGTATATTTGGTCAGGTGTGGCTGATAAGGAAATTCCGCACTCTTACAGAATGCTTATGTGACCGTTTCCTCTTTCTATCTTTATTTTGCAGTGTCCGCTTCAGGCCTGGTGAGCACCTGACTTCCTTGACGCAGAGAACATCGTCCCCACCTCCATTCCCCCTCATCGCGCCCGTATCTGTGGAAACCCATAATAAGTGCGAGCAAGTGGCACACTGGATGAAGAGTTAGTCAACAAACCAGGGGATGCAGGACTGACGAGAACGGACACTGTTAGGTTGTTCGATCAACAAGGGTACACACTTTAGTGACAGTATTTTACTTCTCAGTGATGGACAAAACGTATTGAGGAACATGGGTGATCCTGAAGAACAAACCAATAGGAAACACAAGACAAAGCTACAGATACAAGGAGAAGAAAGACCTGGAATAAGAACACTGTGCTCAGTGAAGACATTATAATTGAACCGTGTGGATACAATGACAATCAGCCAATGTTAGAAGCATCTGTAGGAGTTTCTGTAACGTGTAACTGATGCAAAGACGTCTTCCGTGAGATCTGACAACGCTTAGACGATGTTCTGTACTGTTGAATGTAAATACAAGCAATTATTATATCGTTAGTATGAAGGATGTAAATATTCGATTGTCCATGTGGTGTGCTGTTTTATCTGTCTAAACTGTGATTCACGATGTGACAATCTATGGAACAGGTATGACGTATTGGAATATGCAGTTTCAGACTTTTTTTGAGTACATTGTTGACGTCAAATCTTAAAAAGTGAGATAAACGTTAAAGCACATTCAACAAAACCTGAACCTATTGATCTCCCTGCAAGCCTAGTTTTAAAATAGACGCTACTGTCAATGTTGACTATTAGCATTAGTGTCGTCAGATAGATAAGCGTCATCTTTCTGTGCCAGGACTTCCACAGTATGCCAGAAGTAGTGGATTTAAGTTACGGTCGATTCAGAGAGACAGATAACTCCATCCGCATAGCTGCTCACCATCTTTGCGATATCGACAGGAACGGCCATGAATCGTGACGTGCCTTTCTAATCTAAATATTGACTTGCAATCAAACTGTCATTGTCATTGTGGAGAGATACTGAAAAGAGCGTCCCGTCGAATTGGACGGCAGAATGGTTATCAGTAGGAATTTCATAAAAGTTGGGAAATCGAGCCCATTCGCCATTTCAAACAGTATTACCTGCTCACGCCACTCTGAACTACCAGGAAGCATTGTGAAATAGCTTTTATTGTGGCTCTTGACTTTGTTTTTTTACACATTTGCTGGCATGTATGTCCACAATTTCATAACTGACATTGTCATTTTGGTATACTTAAGAAACTAGTGCACATGTCCCCGTCTAAGAGTTTGAATACTTGTCAAAAAGTCACTTCAGTGTTTGTTTTTAATGTTGTTGACTATGTTCCCACTGCCGGTTGACCTGAGGTTACAGTGCTGGTTTATTCTCCTGCTTTATGCTGGATTTATACAAAATGTGATTCTGTCCACATTGTATTATTTTTGTATAAAATGAAATCAATCTTTTAAAATCATTATTTATGCTTTACGAAAAAAGTTTCAAGTAAAGTTTTTTTTTTCTCAAGATTGAGAACTGTGGTCTGTCTCTGATTTCAGACGTAAAAATTGTATCATATTGTATGAATTTCCTCATACTAAATATTATACTAGTGTTATGTGCAATTTTACTGTCTATTGCATAGTTTTTCTTTTCAAGACGATTATTTTTATGACATGGGTGTTACCAACCTCTCCCTCCTGCAACAATATATCTTCTTAAATCATGTAAACCAGGGCTGTCCAAACTCGGACCTGGAGGGCCAGTGTCCTGCAGAGTTTAGCTCCAACTTGCTTCAACACACCTGACTGGAAGTTCCTATGCCTAGTAAGAGCTTGATTAGCGGGTTCAGGTGTGTTTAAGGAGGGTTGGAGCTAAACTCTGCAGGGCACCGGCCCTCCAGGACCGAGTTTGGATAGCCCTGATGCAAACCTAAGGATGAAGAGCTTGTGGCGATCTCAAACTTAAAGGTATAGTTCACCCAAAAGTGAAAATTGTCATCATTTACTTATACCCTCATGTCATTCCAAACCTGTATGAGTTTCTTTCTTCTGCTGAACACAAAAGAAGATATTTAAAAATATGTTGGCAACCAAACTTTGAAAACGTTGATGGTACCCATTGACTTTCATTGTATTTTTAATATGCAAGTCAATGGTTACCGTCATCTGTAACATTCTTCAAAATATCTTCTTTGTGTTCAACAAAAGAAAGAAAGTCACACAAGTTTGGAACAATGTGAGGGTGAGTAAATGATGACAGAAATTTCATTTTTGGGTGGACTATCACTTTAATAGTCCATTTTAGGAATTAAAATGGACAATATTTTATGTCCACGTGCTCTTCATTAGGATTAGGATCATGTCAGGATTGAGTCTGGGAAAAATGTTGGATATTTCAAATATGTTGTGTTGTATTTTGTTCAGCAGCATGAGTGAGTGAGGATCGAGTGCATGTCTGGAAGAAAACCTCCCTGTTGCTTTTTGTTTTCCTCCTACAGGTCTGAAACAACAGTTTTTAAAATTCCCCACTTAGGCTATTACTAAACTTGGAGGATGAGCCGCATATTGTTGATGGGAATGAAACTCATGCCAATGCCACACAGTGAGAGTGGCCACATTGTTGGGGTGGAAGAGTATGCTGGGAAAACATGGCTCCCTCAAGACAATATATGCTGTAATTAGATGAATTTACCTCATTCTGCTCAAACTAAACACACACAACATTTGCTTATTATACAAGGGCCTTTTTAATAAAACAAGAGTTGTAATTTCTATTTTTATTTAATTAACTCCTCATTCACAATTACACGTTTTGTCGGTGTATGTAGACGTTACTCTGATTTGACTGTTGTGTCACTCCAGTTTGGCCACCAGGATGGAGTTTGGATGGGTGTTTGTGAGAATAGCTCTTCGTGGAATAAACAAACTAACCAATTTCATTTCCATCACTGGAATCATCTCATCTGCATTTTGTTTAATAACATTCCTTGGCGGAAAAGATGGTGGTGAAAATGTCAAACTTCTGTAATAATTTGACTCTTTCGTCTTGCCAAAGGTAATTTCATAGCTAGCATTGATTTCATACTTGTGAATACATACAGCTTGACTGGAAATTATGCTCATAAAAAAAATCCATACAGGAATAATATTTTCTGTTGTTTCTTCTCTTCAAACTTCACATCTCACTTACACTGTCTCCTTGTTAATGAAGTCTAATAACCTTTCAAAGTTTGACAAGACAAATGTGGGACAGTCGTATATTTGTTTTAAAATCGGATATAAATCAGTTTTATACAATAAATATTAAAATGGTTCATGTTTAAAAAGGCTGACAAATTTTGTATTTGATTTTTCATATTTTAAGATCAAAAAGGACTAGGGTGAAACAATTAAATATGTGCATATGAGGCATTTGAAAATATAAAATAAAATAAAAAATAAGTTAAAATAAAATAAATATATTCTGTAAATAAATTGAGTCTGTTAGTTGTAATAATCAGCCAATAGCAGCACATAAAAATGATTGAAGACACACCCAGAAGCATATTTTGAGTAATTCTGTTAGCTTGATGCTAATGTTGATCGCAGCTCAAGCTGTAGCCATGTTACACTTTATTCTGACTTTAAAACTTTGTTCTGGGCTTTTTTGTCTTCATTTGAATGTGCCTTAAAGACACTCATAGAGTTATGAAAGAGAGTGTCCTGCTGAGTATACACTTGTAACCCAATGATGTCGCCCTGTTTGGTTATCAATGAGGCCTTTGATTTTTCTTCCAGGGAGCCACTAAAGATCTTACTGCTTCTCTCTTTTACTGCGCTGCCTGTAAAAGAGCAGAGGAGCAGAGAGAGAGAGAGAGAGAGAGAGACAAATGCTTATTAGCATTCTGAGGAGGTGCTGAGTTAACAATGCAACAACAACAATACAGCAACGACAATGATTATAACTATTGTTTTAATTCAATTCAAGGACAGCACTGTAAATGCAGGCCTGTAATTCTTGTATTTTAACAAGACTAATGGCATAAACACAATAAAAAAACAACAACTTTTTTCATCTTCCCATGTTTCTTGTAAGATATTGTATGATTCAACAGACACAGTAGGGAAGGACTGGATCTTTGCTTCCGAACAATACTCAGAGGTCAACATGAGAGCAAGATGGACACACAGAGAACAGAGAGAAGGGACAAAGGGACAGAAAATGGAAGTTACAAGCTGAATGTAGCTGTGTGTTTAGTGGTCAGAAGAGAATGGGCACTACATCAACTCCAGCTGGGCCCCAAAGGGTTTTAATGGACAGGAGAACCCAGCAGGGGTCAGAGGTCAGGAGGCCAATCTCTGCCAGGGCTAATTGGTAACACTGTTTCAAACTGAGATCAAAATTAGCCTTTGAAGTCCTAAACAGTTCATAATATCAAAATAAGTTTCAAAATGAGACATTTTGTCATGTTTTGTATATATAAATTGTATAATTTCTTTAAATATTATATATATATATTTCTGTAAATAATTTCAATAAAAATAAATAAATATTTGTGTGTATAATATATATATATATATATTAGTGCTGTCAAACGATTAATCGCGATTAATCGCATCCAACGATTAATCGCATCCAAAATAAAAGTTTTTGTTTACATAATATACTCTATGTATGCGTACTGTGTTTATTTATTATGTATATATAAATACACACATTCAGTATATATTTTGAAAATAGTTATATGTATATACATTTATATATTTATATTATTATATTTTATATTATATATAAATATATTTAATGCATGAACGTAACATATTTTTCATAAATATATACATGCATGTGTTTGTATCTATATATACATAATAAATATATGCGGTACACACTCATACGTAAACAAAAACTTTTATTTTGGATGCGATTAATCGTTTGTGTGTGTGTGTGTGTACATACATATAAAATTAAAATAATAAAATGTATATTATATAAAATAATAATATAAATATATAAGTACATATATAAATACAAAATACTCACAAATATGTAGTGTGTGTGTGTGTGTATTCATCATTGTTGTATTTTGAAACAAAGTGTATAGATAGATAGATAGATAGATAGATTATTCATAACAAATCTTAAATTCCACTGTCAAACAGTTCACAAATCCCACTGAATTCACACGGTTCATAAATATCCGAACTGTGAAATTAACCATACAGTCATAAACATATAAACATACAGTCAGTGAAATTAACCATAAACTGCTTAATGCATTGACAGCTTGACAGCATCTGGAAGACTTGAGGCAAATGTGGCAGAGAGGAATAAAAATGTCATTATTAATCACTCATTGTTCCGCGTCTATTAAGGGGGAAACACACTGCATTCAAATGAAATCATTACAGCTGAGAAACTGTATGTAAACAGACATTTTCATGACCCCACAAACTGTGTGAAGGAATTTATCATTCCTGCCTTTGTGATGCTTTGGTAGTTTATTGATCGATTCTCTACACAGACACGCATACTGGATTTTGGAATGAGAATGGATCCATTCGGTCTTTGTGTCTAAATGGGAGTGAATACATTCTGCCTTTCAGCTCAGAGACGGATCATACTGTAAAAGGCAGTCCTGACAGACAGCAGTGGCCACGCTGATGCTGTGGGATCTGGTGATTTATGGTGATTGGTGGGATGCTCTGAGTCAGTTGTGGGTTAATGTTCACCTGGGTCACAGAGCCACTGCTGGAACCTGCCTGTATTCACATCAGGCCCTCTGACAAGACTGGCCTCAAGCTAAACCCACCACTCTCAGTGGGGAAACTGCGTCCTTCATAGCTCCTCAATGGATCCTAATGGTTATGTAAGGTGGCTATTCAGAAAGCTGAATGGGCTTGGGTGGAAGAGAAATATCAATCTTGTCCAATGCATTAACACAGCTAAACTCAGTACACCTCCCCTTTCCATGGTACAAAAAACAAAACAAAAAACACTGTATATATATATATATATA